GATTGTTTGGTTAATATGTATGAAAGTTAATAAATAGCTAGAAGAGCTGCAGGCTAATTTGGAAACACTAGCTTTGCTCTGTGTTTGCTTTCCTTGCTTGAATTTTCAGCTGTAGAGCGGAGGGCGGACTCTGTTACTAATTACATGGAAGAAGTCCCCCCCCACTCCCTGCCCTGGTAAATTCCTCCCAACTAACCTCCTGCCCCCCTTAATCCTCACGAGCGGTGCCTGCTGGGCAGCTCTCTGTCCTGCGAGTTAATGACAAGGGACTCGAGCGAGAGGTGAAGGTGGCGTGGGCCGCTCTGGCCTCTTGACACGCTGGACGTGCACAAATAGGATTATTCCGAGCTGGGAGGCCTTGTGGTGTGTGGTCAGCTCGCAGTCCAGGCTGGATCCTGCCCCTTCCCAGGTAGTGTCTAACGCTCATTTCCAAGCGAGGCGACGCGGAAGCGGCACAGAGGGTGGCGAGAAGCCGCGCCGCCCCCTCCTCCCCGAGCCCAGCCCGGCTGATAAAGGCTCTTCTCTCTCGTGTTCCTTGACTTCAGCACACCTGCATCCATACGTTGAACTTGGCAATGGTGGAGCTGGCTAAATCTGTTCCCTACGTTTCTAAAAAAATTATCATTTTGCACTCAGGTGGAGGATGTGCTCTGCCTTTCAGTATTTCAACACTGCTCGGGCGTGCTTAGTAAATTTTCTGCCCTTTTGGATGTAGTAATGTACATTGAGAAATGCTTCTTTATTCTCCTTTTCCCCTTCAGTTTTCCACTCACGATCATTAGATGTTAGTTTAATAAAAGTGCTTTTATAAAAAGGGAAATAAAGTTATGGAAGGCAGTTTGGACTGTTGTCTTTGTATTGTCACGGGTGGTTTAGGCAGCTCTTAGAACTGTGGCTTCTGGAGGTTAAAAATTGCCCTTTGGTACAGCCAGTTTGGGGTTCTTGGGAATAAGATTTCAGCTATAACTTGGTATAAATTCCTCCAGCACCTAATTAAATAGACATGAGAAGTCATAAAATAGTAACTGTTTTGATTTATTTTTTTAGGTGAGTTTTCTATTGTTGTGCTTCCATCATGAAAGCTCTAATTTAAACAAGAGCATCTGCATCCTTCTTCTGGGGCTTTTGGCTGCACCTTGGGCCTAGCCACAGTCATGTCCACTCGGTGCATTCAGTCGTGTTGCACACGTCAGGCACGAAATGTGGAAGGGAAGAGTAATATAGGGAACTGTAAGCTATGGCTGCAAAGCCAGGAAGCCTGCTACAAGTAGTAGGTATAAGCACAGTATCTGAAAATATGCTAAAATGAGAAAAATGAGGGGGGGGAGAAAAAAAGATCCAAAAAATTAGTGCAATTTTTAAGCTAACATTGAATTTACAGTTAGTTAAGTCATTAAATGGAGAGTTAACTGTATTTTTCCCCTCTGCCAATACAAAGAATTTAAGCGTATGCTGGAAATAAATGTGCCACGCTGCCATCATCTTGGCTGTCCAGGAGAAGAAATGCTCCTTTTTTTGAGCTGTTCATCAAAACAGCTCAAAATACAGGTTCAAGTATGCTGTTTTGCACTGAACTCATTTTCTAATCTTTAAATGCGTATGTGGCATTTTGTGGTGCTCGAATATCCTCTCTGGCTGGATTCAGTAAGGTCCTATTAATATATGCATGGGATATGGTTAATATTGTTTCTGCTGCTGGGTTACTTCTGAACACCTTGACTTTCATGCAGCTACAGAGCTGCTGCTGTTTTTGTTTTGTGTGATTTAGTTTAATTCATTTTGTTAAAAAGGTGGGGAAGGGACTTTCAGAGAGCATGTTATGTATTTCTGACTGCCTGGGCAGAGCTCAATTACCACTTCATACAACGGCTCTGAAGAGTGCCGATATCAGTGTTTCTGCCTTCCTCTTTTTCCCACTCCCCTATTTGTCTCAGAATAACTTCAGATATCTACTGTGTTTTTTTCCTTTTAATTCATGTTTATGTTTCCTCCCTTCCTGGTGAATAAGTGGAACTCTAGTTGCCTAGAGAAGTAATGTCCTTGCGGCTTTTGGTTGTAGATGATGGGAGGCAGAGTTGCGGACCGTAACCACTTGGCCCTTCTGACATCTCCCTCACCCGTTCCCTGCCTGTGCTAAAGGAAACGAGATTGCTGCTGCTGCTAGCCTTGCACTTCTGCACAAGATTTAGCTTTTCCCTTTTGCAAAATTGGGTTTTCTTTACTTTTTGTGCTTAGTCTCTTGCATCTTGGCAGCCTTCTGCGAGTTGTCTTGCTGATGAAGCAGCGCAGCCTGGAAGTTGCTTCTAAAGGGCGGAAGGGTGAGTGATCTCGCTTTGTCATCCCTGCATCTTGGACTCTCCATATGCCACTCTGGGTGAATTCCTTGATGATTTTTCACTGGCACATGAAGTAATATGTCTAGTGAATACTCTGGATTCATCTTTCAGAAATGTTTTGCGGGAAATGGAATTAATTTCTTCCTGTGTGGGAAATGGGGAAAGTCCTCTGCAAATACCAAATACCTGAAGGCCTCTGTTTTGCTAGTTATGAGCTGGCCAGTTTTGTTAGATGTGAGCATGTGTCTTAGCAGAATGGTGCCCTGGTTGCTGTTTCTAGGTGTTACTGAAGTACAGATACAGAATTTGCATGAAGTAGCAAAACTAAGATTGCCAGATTTCCTCCTCTCTTTTTCAAGTTCTGCTATTTTCAACTGCTGTATTTGCTTTCTCTGCCAATGTTGTTGTGCAAATAAAAGGGAACAGTTCATTTAAAAAAAAAAAAAGAGAGAGAGAGAGCGAGAGAAAGAAAAATCCCAGCAGTTGATTTGTGCAGTATTTATACCCATCACTTGACAAACACATGGTACCCTTGCTGTTGTGAATAAAAACGCTGCTAAGCTCCCCTTGGGAGTTGCACAGGTCACCTAAAGAAATACTTGGTGTCATGCAGGTTCCAGCTGCTTCATCCATGCTGGATGGACCGTTATTTCTCCGTGCTCCATAAAGTTAATCCCTCCATAAGAGCCTTGTTCGTCTCGGTAATGACAGAAGTAACCTGGTTTTGTATTTCCAGCAGTGCAGCTGGAAAAGTGAGTGCTTCTGAAAATAATCTTTCTAAAAGCATCAATGCCGGTCCAGAAATTATGTACACCGGGACCTGAGCCTGGTGACACACTTGGGGTTACTTGGAACTAGTTACTTGAAGTCTTTGGCCGGGTCTCATTAGAAAGAGGGGCAAGTTGGGCGGGTAGGTGGCCGAGTGGGGTGTAGGTGGATGCTTTTGAGCTTTGTGATCATTAAAAGGATGCCTTCATGTGGAACTTTCAGCAGATAGAAAGATAGTCAGGTTATCCCACATGTTTCCTTCTCTTCACTGAAATATTTACTGTCTCTCTGAGATTTCTGCTGCTGGCAGAAGGTTAACAGGTTCCAGCATCTGTTATTGCCGTGAGGGATATGCTCTTGATGCATCTTCTCCCCTGTGTGTGCAAGAGGTGATCTCTGATCTCCACAGACCTAGAACCAGACACCCATTTCGGTGGTCTCGGTCCTTTCAAGAGAACAATCTGAAGCCCAGCGTGCTGGTAATATCTGTGTGCTGATGATCTGTGGCCTTCCTTCAAGTTTCAAATGTTTCTTTACAGCTCCAATGACTGGAAACTTTCAAGTGTAAAAATCCCAACTATACTTTCCAAATCATTCCTGCACCTGTTTTTTTTCGAGGGAGAAATAACAAGTGGGTGGTAACATCGGGTGTCCGTAATATTATGGTAGAAATGAGTATTTTCTAGCAGCTGAAAATGAAAGTATCAGAAAGTTATTTCTGGAGAGTTGTCTGCTACTAGCCATGTGATAGCAAGAAAGCAAATATTAGTAGGGATTTGCACCTTACTGAAGCTCAGATTAGTGGCAAAGAATATTTTCTCAATTGTTCAGAAATAAACCTCTTTCTAAAAAGGTGTTATGTACTTTGGGCACAGCAGTCTTAACTTTTAGCTTATTCCAATATTTATGCCACTTCTTTTTCATCACTGGAGTGTCCGTACTTGAGTATTGAGTTAGTCCTTGTGAACACTGTGTGAGGGCAAAACACCTGCCTTGCTAAAGATCTCTCATAATTTTTCTGATACTTATAGTAGTCACAGTTCTTTTTTTGCTATTTGCTTCAGCGTGTGTTTGAGGAGTTCCCCACATATATTTGAATATAGCAAAATATTTTGATTTCCTTATTTGCCCTACAGTATCTTTTCTTTTGGAATGGATACAGGTGATTCTGCAAAAACTAAGTATACCCCAGACCCAGCAGTGTAGGGATGTGATACATTCTCCAGGACTTTAATTTTTTAATCGACGACTGGCTTTTTCTCAAATTTGGTGATTTAGTTAAAGCTCAAGGCTTTGCTTTTGTGCAGAAACTTTTTGGAGGGAGTCAGGCCAGTTCTTGTTCACTGTTGCTGTTTGAAGTCGGGAGCTGCTTACTTAGAGTTTGTGCCAGGGTCAGAACATGGGGATCTACTTTTTTTTTCTTCTTTTCTTTCCTTTTTTCTTTTTCTTTTTTCCTTGCATTTTACAGGAGGGAATAAATTTTTGTTTCCAGTTTTGTTTATTTTACCCAAAGACTCTTGCCAGTTCTCCAAACAAGTAATAAATAAATAAACTCTAACATTTGTTAAATTTGATGTGGGACAGTTTATGCACAAATCTAACTGTGAGGATCAGTTAGTCATACAAATATTTGGGTATATACCTAAAAGCAAAGAAGCGATCAGCAAACACATTTCTCTCTTCTGACCAGACTCGACTCCTTCCTTAGTGTGCTCTGGCCTTAGGATCTTCAGCTGATCCTTGGTGCACTTTGGGAGTCTGCTGGAACTAGGAGGAAGCTTCACCCTCTTCCCCCCTCTCCTTGCTCTTCAATAACCCAAGGTGACTTTGGATCAATCACAAAAAGTATGATTTTTTTTTTTTTTTTTTCCCCCCCGTGAAGTGAAGGCCTGCCAGATGGCGGCGTGCTCAGGGATTCCCAGCAAGCTTGGTAAGGGTTTTGCAACTGGTGTTTTGCATGACTTTAGCACTGACCGCGGAGACGGTCAGGAAGCACTGAGAATGTGAAAAACGCTGCTGCTGGTGGTGTCATTACTTTCCATAACGTTTCAAGATTTAAAGGCTTGTGGATTTTTTTGGTCGCTGATTAGAGCGAACAAGCAAGTTATAAGTGCTAAAGTGCTAAATGTAAGGTCAGAGCAATTAATATACAGAGAAGTATTTTCGGGGATTTTTTCTTTAATTACAGAGTTGATAAGAATTGCCTGTTTCTGTACATAGCAGCGATAGAAATCTTGCTTAAACAAACTGAAATAAAATACAATGAGCCCTTGAAAAACAAAGCGTGGAAGGAAGGGGCAGCAATTTATTGGCTCATTGTGTTGAAGAAAGGCTAAATACACAAGTACACGGTGAGCAGCTTGAAAGCACCAGCTCAGGGTCTAGTTCCAGCCCTTCTCATTCATGGGTTATGGTGTCCTCCAGGAAAATGAATGGCCTTGGAGGCCGTCCCGAGCACCTTGCTGCTAAGGTTTCTCTGGTTAAACAGACTGGAAACCGAAAGCTGTTCAAATACTATGAGATGGTTTTAACGTGATGTTAACTGAAGTTACTTTGTGTAATGCTCTCCATATCTCTAATACCTGGCAGGCCAGTTAGGTTAGTGTATTTTTATTTTACTTGCTGCTGCTCTGCTTGTTTCGAGTAATCTCTTGTTCCTCCGATATGCTTTTAATACTTCCTTAGGCAGCTCCTTGTAAGCCAGGCGAGCTTCTGTAGGCGCTCAGATAAGCAGAGAGGCTCCTAAGGCTGCAGCTCAGTGGAACTGTTATTTGATATTAAACTGCAGATCTTCTTTAATTATCAAATATTGAAATGAAAAACCAAAGTGAGAGGTTGCATAAGGGCACACAGGCAGCCTTTCTCGCAGGCTCTGCAAATGTAACACACAAATTGCCAAGACACTGGAGAACCTGTTACACTCTTTTCAGAACGGAGCTTCAGAGTTTACCTTTTAATACCTCTCAGCATAGAATTTAGTCTCTGTATGTTCTCGTCCTGCCTTTCAAGCAGTACATTCACCTCAAAGCTTAGTGCGTTAAATGACAAGACTTTAAAACTCTATTTTTACGTTTCAGAATTGAATATGATTTGATGTAGAATGTTGCACAACCGCACAAAATTAGCAAAAAGGAAATGGCTTTGAGATGTTCCCTTTCCTTTACCTTTGTTTTATTAAAAATGCTAGTTTCTGAAAGGGCTGTGAGTGGTGGATACAGAATGTAGCAGGAGACTCAGAGCAGAGAATCGTGATCTGCCCTCCTGGTTGTTATATGCAGCTGATCGGAGACTTAAATAGAAAGTATTCCTAAAATAAGGCCTGAATGGTGGGAGCGATGGATTGTGCTAAAGAGCGCACAGCATTTGGTGGGGGAACCCAAAGCAGTACTGCCCTGTGACTAGATCCTGTGCCCCGAAAGTTCAGGTGCAGAGACCCCTGCACTGGGCTGGCTTAACTGTACCTTTTTGGAATTATTTCTGGTATCGGAGCCTGCTGCTGCGATTGGAGGGGAAAGAACCCTGTGGAGTGTGTGTGTGTGTGTGTGTGTGTGTTCCCCAGGTGTTACTGAGGGGAAGCAGAATGTTGTGCCGCCGTCGCATTGCATTACTGCTTGTCCTGGCTGCAGCTCTGGTTGCTTAGCCAGCTTACGGGGTAGCTCTCGTACTCTTGTTGCTTATAAAACTCGCCATTAAACGGTCGTTTCAGTGCATGCATTATAAATACCTCGATCTGATAGGGAGGTTCCTGGAAGGGCCTTTCTGCCCACCCAAGCACTGGGAAGCACCCATGCCCCTCACCATTGTGTGCCCGCTGCCTTGGGATGTGGGGCAGGCCGAGCCCAGAGCTAAACAGAAAGGAAAAGAACAAATGATGCCTGAGGTCATTCCCTGCGGCCTCGCTGTGCAGGGGTTGCCTTTCCCTAGCACCACTCCTAGACACGTCGTGTTGTTGTTTGCAGTGTGTTCTGCCCCAGCCCCAAGGAAAGACGAGGGACTCCTCGTGTCTCAGCCCGCCGGCTGTTTGAGGCGGCGGGGGCAGCTGCGCAGAGGCCCCGCGGAGCCCGGCTGCGTTGCGTTCGGCGAGATGCTTCGCGCCCGGCCTTGGCGCCGCCGCGCTCTGAAGCCCGACGTGGCAGCGGAGGGCAGCGGGTGAGCAGGGCTGTCCCTGCAGCCTGGAGCCTCCGTCTCGGCCCTGTTTCCACCTCCACAGCGTGAGGGCGGCGTGGCCGGCTGCAAGGGGGCCTGAACCTGCAGCTGCCGCCTTCCAGGTGGGCACCATAACCCTTGGGTCCTTTAACATATTTAGGCTGAATGTATCTCTCTGTTTTCTTTCTTGCCTTGGCTTTTTTTTTTTTTCTTCTTCTTGCCTTTTAACAAGCACCCAGCATCTGAACACTTGGGCACTATCAAGATAGTTTGTTCCAGCCTCTTCCTCTTGTGCATTCATTCCCATGCAAGTCGGAGCCGGTTGTCCTCGAGTGAACCCTTCTGCAAGTTCAGCCCAAATTCATGAATAGTTGTCGTCCCTGAAACTGTGTGTTTTAATGAATAAATGATTCAGCAAGAAAAAGACATTCCATCCAGAAACAGTAATAGCAACATCTGCTAGGGCTGCTCCTTTACTGCTCTGTGCTCTTCAGGCTTGTCAGGAGCAGCGTGGATCCAGGTTAGCAGATAAGGTTGCCTTTTTTTTTTTTTTTCTTTTTCCTTTATAAAATTTTTTCTTTAAGCGTACAACTTTCAAAAGAGCACTTGGCACAAAAACCTGGGGTACTGCAGGAGAAGGAACTAGGTCTCATGGACACACAAACAGGATATCTAAGAAACAATATAAACTCTATAATAATAAAGGAAACAATTTGTTGTTTTAAACTCATCCTTATTCAAAGCAGTTCTGGCACTTGGGTGTCTATTCAGTGTGTGGAGGGGGGGGAAAAAAAAGAAAAGGAAGTTCTGGTGCTTTATTGGAAAGGTCATTTCTCCAGAATAGGAGCTCTGTTAGAAGATGCTCTGGTCTATTTTGGATTGTAAGCTGTGTGAGCACCCTGTTTCTAGGGTGTCTGAGCATGTGGGCCTGCATTTACACATGCTTTTCTGACAGCTGTAAATAATACTTTTATCATGAGTTCTGTTGTCATATTAAAAAAATGGCATTAATGAAAGTAAGTAATGAAATAAAATTCCTAGACTATTAAGCATGGTAAGACTCTAGGAGGACGCATGAAGTATTTACATGATGCAGGCTAGGTATGCAAGAGCTTAAATCTCCCTTTCAGTTTGAGGACTGGGAGATCTGCATACAGCAATACTGTCTGTTTACTGTTAGTAAATACAGTAAGAGAAATATCTATTTGAAAATCTAGTTAAATCACAGTAAAGAATGGAAAAAATAAAATGTTCTCACCTTATCTGATTATTTCAACCTCCCATCTCCAGTGCGTCGTACGTGAGTTTGAAAGTCGGGTGCAAAGGGTGTTACTTTGAGACTGTTTCAGAAGCCAGCAATGCAAAACACCATGAGTATAACGCATTCTTTTCTTTATTTAACGCGAAGGTTACATTCTGATAAGTCGTATCATCTAACTTCAGTTTTTGAGAAATTTCCGGAGACACACGTATTATGTGGTGAGTGTTGGAACAAAATTGCAGAGGGTGCTGCCGAAGACTTTCCTGTCTAATTCTTGCCTTTTATTGGGGCCCTTGTGTCTTCAATGCAGGGGGGTCCCTGGCCGTGGTGACTGATGGTGCCAATTGTGGCCACTTGTAGGCAGCCACTTGTGTGCTTGGCTGTCATTGCTGGTGTGGGACCTCTGCATCTCTAGTGGCCACGTCTTAGAGGAGATATATAGCTCCCTGGGATCGCAGCTCGTAGGCAAGCGTTGTTGTCTGAAGTACGTGTGTGAAATCTCTGTGCAGCAGCAGGCACTCTTATGTTTCGGGTGACCTGGGTGAATGCTGATGCATTTCTCAACAAATGTTTGCGTGACTCCGTAGGCTGAAGGGTTGGTTTTTGGCATCCTACCTTGCCTCCTCCTCAGAGGATACCTGGGTTTTGCCCGTTTTCTCTTAACCTATCCCTGCTCGCTCTTGAGGAGCTGCTGATTTTTTCTCTTGCATGCCACAATATGCGATAGAGCCAGAGCGCATCTTTTTTGGCAGCCAGCATTCTCACGTAATGGTACAGGGGCACCACATGCTGGTCTCTTCCCCTGAAGGAAGGAGGAACCCCCGAATTATCCGAACACTTCCCTGTTTGTTTGGCTTACCTGTAACGAATGTTCCTTGTTAAATGACTTTGAGGACAGTTTTAAACCCCATGCATGCAAAGCAGGCTGTGAGCACAGTCTTGACAACATGCAGTTAAAAGAAACATGTAAATAAAACCCACTGCACAGGGAGGAAAGGGTTGTAAAAGCAGCTTTAAAAGGTTATGAGTCATACAAACAGGATATATTTTTGGAGAAGAAAAAGAGAAAATACCGTGATGAAGACGTTCAACCCTTCAGGGTTGTCTAGACACGTGCCTGGTGGCATCTGGAGGCTTGTGTGTCCCAATAGGCCGCGTTCCCTCGATAGAGGCAGGTCTGTGGGTGCCTTCCCGTGCGCTGGCGGCAGCCTTGCCGCGCTGAGCCCTCGCCTGCGCTGGCGGGCTGGAGCGAATGCCTTTCCCCTTCAGCCAGCTGAGGGGGTGTTCAGCTTTGCCCTGCATATACGGTGTGGCTACAAGTTGGCGTAGGCTGCCATAGCCGTGACCATGACACCGCTTTTTCCCGCGGCGTAATCGTGCTTGTGAAAGTCGAGCATTCTTTATTCAAACCTGTTCTGCAGGTAGTCGTGTTTCCGCCAGCGTTACATAACCCGGTGGCGCGTTGCCTCTCTGCTCTGTTTGCACCCTCAGCACAAAGGAATCCAGCTCATGAATCACTGTGG